CAGGAAGTATATGCATACAGAGAAATCAACCAAATACCATTTGGAACTGATATTTAGGGGCTGTTGACAGGCGCTCACAGACTGAAAAACATGTTTATTTCATAGTTATTTGCATTATACAACTAAATTATATTTAACGTGTTTAAGTAAATTTTCATCTCTTGATATTTGAAGGGGGGCGGCGCCCCAGCGCCCTCTACTGGCCGGCCGCCACTGCCCGAGACATATCACTGTTAAATGACATTACAGTACAATAAAAATGGAAATCATTGAGCTAGGGATTTTGCACGTCTCTTTATGTAGCAGCACGATGTTATCAACATTATGCATCTTTCCCTTTTTAGTGTAGCTCTGATAGGCCTATGTCTGGGGCAATGGATCTGTGTGCTTTTCATAAACATGGTTTTATTTATTTCACTCACGTTAAGTTAATTCGCTGGTTAGCTAGGTGCTCTCCTGCAAGCTGGCGAACATTACGGACAACCGCTGTATAAAAATTGCATCACTTAATTTTATTTCTCTGTTTTCTGTGCAAAAAGTGCAGGGAACAATTCAGCTGTTCAAGAAACGGGTAGCTATCGCTATCAAGTGGGTGAATCGCAGGCAGCATAGAAGTAAACTGGGAGAAGACTAGAAAGACGTATCCTATTGTTAGCATCACGCTGATACAATAAAAAACCTGCAAAATCCATTGCTCAGTTGTTATTTTTATTGAACTGAAGTTTTGAGCATCCAGTTTGCCACCGACTTGATCGCGATAGCTACCCGTTTATTGAACCGTGAATTGTTCCTTGCACTTTTTGTGCAGAAAACTGAGAGACAGTCCGTTATTACGATCGACTCTGATATAACACAAGGTTAATAAGACCGTTACGAACGATGTAAAAATATTTAACTGGTAGGTTCTGGTGACCGATCACAGTCTAGTCGAATTTAATAAACTGGAATCAAGTTTTATACAGTGGTTGTTTGTAACGTTCACCAGCTTGCAGGAGAGTAGCTCTCTAGCTTGCCAACCAGAAGGGGCATCTCTAGGACTGACGATTGGTGGGGCCCAGAGCTCCCCTTTAAAACAATTACTAACCCTGACTTGCACGCAATCATTCGCATAATTGACAAACAATCCTTCCAGGATTTTCCCGTCTTTTTTTTTTGTTTGTTTTATTGATTTTTTGCGGTAATTTTTTCAAAAAGTGGCAATGAAAGTTGCAATGTCTTGGCGATTTATTTTTTTGTCCGCGAGAAATTTGCGTGGATTGGTTGAATTTGCTTTAATAGTTGCAATCGCGACATGCAGCTTCTTTGAGGACTGAGTAATAGATTCACTCGAGAACATGCGGTGCGGGTGCGGTACATTTCGCACGGCGACAATCATTAATCTGGACGCGTAATTTCGTGCATTTAAATCAGCGTTGTTCAGAATTGCACACAGTCACAGACGTTTCAAATGGTCTTTTATTTTATTTAAACAAAAGATCATGAAGCGCCAATTAAATCACTTGATGTGTGGAAAAGGTAGCGCAGACGTTTGAGAGCAGTTTGTCTTTCACAAAGTGTTGAACAATTTTTGAGTGGCCTAAATAATTTTTCTGATCCGAATTTATCCCATTATTTAGTCGTCAATAGATCGCATGGAGAGAGAAACCCTAACTTTGATTGCCAGAGGATTATTGTCATAATTGGAAAACGTGTTAATAATGGAAAATAACTGAGTACAAGCCAGGAACAATCATTGACGCAAAGGCATGGTCCAGGCCCCACCAATTATCACTTCCAGAGACGCCACTGCTAACCAGCCAATTATTGTAACGTGAATCAATCGAACCGTGTTGGTGAAAAGCGCGCATGTCAATTGCCCGAGACATATCACTGTTTCCACATCCGGCTATTGCTGGCAAGAATATATGATTACAACGACATTACAGTAGAATAAAAATGGAAGTCAATGAGCTATGAATTCTCCAGACATATGGGAGAAATAGCATCAGAACCTTTTGGCCAGTGATTGGACAATTTGACGTACTGTGACGGTGAGTAACATTATGACTGGCTATTCAATGGGCAACGTGCTGATTGGCTAGTCTACCCACAGGAGTAAAAATAGAGCCATGTTTTGTAACTCAAGGTTCGTAAAGCTGGTTTGTGCTTGTAAAAAAAAGTGTTGCACGCAAAGGTAGGAAATTTGAGCGTATCCACAACTTCACTGTTGCACAGGAAGGTTAGAAATTTTCACACATGCACAAAACTATTTCATAAGCTCAAAACGTTTTTGCACACGCACAAAATTTTTTCACACACGCACAAAACTATTTCATAAGCTCAAAACGTTTTTGCACACGCACAAAATTTTTTTACACACGCACAAAACTATTTTTCAAGCTCAAAACCTTTTTTGCGCATGCACAAAACTATTTTACAAGCTCAAAGCTTTTTTACACATGCATAAAACTATTTCACAAGCTCAAAACTTTTTTACACACACAAAGTATTTCTACAAGTTCAAAACCTTTTTGCACAAGCACAAAACTTTTGGCCCTAATTTGATTCCATATCAAGGCCCTCAACGATTTTACCCACTGTACCACTGCGATGCATTAATGTGCGTGTACCTTGGAAAATAAACAAACAAAGGTTAAGACTGCATTCCTTTGCAAATAAATTAGTGCATGCATCACCAGTAAATTCCCCACAATTACCAGTTTACTTTTTTGTTCTTTTTTTGGAAGTAGATATTTTTTCATCTTTTTCGACTCCTGGTTAATTTGCTGCTTCTGTAGTCTATCAGTGCTCTCAATTCTACTTTATTGTACTCTCGTAAAAAAACAACAAAACGATGTCCGCAGCAAAATCCAAAATGACATACATTCCTTAAATGTCACGACATTTGCTCTTGCGTTGTTTGCAAAGGCAAAAAGTAGTTAACTGGACGAATTAACAAATCTGAAACATACATTTTGGTTGCAAGATATTGAAGATTTCAGAATGCACATTCATACCTTCATTATAATTCCTGTGTATCAAAATTATGTTTTCCAGGCTGAAAATCCCTTGAAACTATGTCTCCATATTTTCCTGTCCTTGGTTGTTTTCATTCTGAGCATCTTCCATGACTTCTTTGAATATTACAATTACACATTGCATTAAGTATTATGCTTACTGCACAGCTATTGCAATGGTAAGAAGCTGACATTTTATTATTCACACACTGCTTAAAGGAATTATGGATGGGCAGATAGAAAATTAATAACTGTTTCTCCCTTTTTGTTCGAGCAGCCAAACCATACTTGAAGGCATACTCATTTCCTCCATATCCACACAGATTTGCATAATGATCAGAATACAAATTTCTTAGAGTGTCATTTATGAGCTCAAACTTTAATTCTTCTTGAATAACATGCTTGTTTTCCCATACACTGTTGCTTATTGTGCTCTCCTAAAACTGAAGTCAGTGGTTCTAGTATCTAAAAGCTTTATACTGTTAACATTTTTTTTGCTAGTGTTTTTAATGTCACATTTTTCTCTCAGCAATAAAAAAATTTAATAGCATTATTTTGCATTTTAAATTTAGACTGTATTTTAGTTCACAGAAGTACCTTTCTTTTGAAATCAAATAGTCCAGCAAAATTATGCTTTTTATCATTCATTACAGATTATCTTTTACTGTATATATGAAATACACTTCAAATGGTTATTTTGGTGAACAAAATTATCCCATAGGTCTATTTTTTCTGTCAGTTGGGGAGAAATTATTTGGATTTTTCCCATGGGATTGCCGATAAAGCCATCTTTACCAAAACAGTCTGTTTAGAAGTTCTGTCGCATTTACATTATTTTTGTCGGTAACACTTTACTTGAAGGTATCATCATAAGGGTGACATGACACTGTCATAACTGTTACATGACACGGTCATGAACGTGTCATAAACATTATGTCAATGTCATAAACGTTTATGACTGTTGTCATTAAGTGTCATTCGGTTTTTGTAATGAGAAGTTGACATTGTTTGGGTTGTCTTGAGTCATAAACGTTTATGACATTGACATAATTCATGACACGTTCATGACTGTGTCATGAAACAGTTATGACAGCGTCATGTCACTCTTATGATGATACCTTCAAGTGTTACCTGTTTGTCTTGGTAATCACAAAACCAACCTACAAAATATTTTCTCAATTAAAATCTTGAGAAGAATGGGAAATTAATTCAATTAAGGGGGATTAACCCCTTAAGCCCTGAGCCTCTGGCTAGAAAATGACATGCTCAAAATGAAATGACTATATCTCTGCAACGAATTGGTTGATTTGAATAATATTGGTATCATAATAAAGGTAACACCTTGGAGATTTTTGTCATGGTTCAAAAATCAGTGTATGTGTCACTGAGTCAGAGTAAATGAAGATGTAACACCGCGTAAACAAAACATCTTTTTTGCATCAAACAAATTTTTAATTTTATTTGTGGTAAAATTATTCCGTTGCAGTCTGAAACCCAAAAAAATTACAGCATAGAATCTTGCCATTATCTGTGCCAAAGTTTATTCTAACCAAGTAAATCAGAGCAAAATTAGAGAGATTTTAGTTCAGGAATGTCTAGGTGGCCTCTCCAAGCTAACACTGCATGCCGTTTCATATTTCTCAGATACCAAACTGTAAAACTAATTTAATTTCACTTATATGTCACTACAGGCATACATTTCATCCAAATACAACCACTTTTTAATTTTTAGAATTTTTAAATATTTATTATTATTATTATTATTATTATTATTATTACAACATTATTACCAGTCCTGTAGCCAATACCATTTCCCATTCAAAGATAATACATACAAAGAAAATGAAGTTTGACTCCACTGGAGCAGATTTTTTTTTAAAAAAAGCAAATAAATAAAATTATAAATACAAAGGAAATGTAAAAAAAATTGTAAAAAAGTAAAAAGAACAAAAAACCCCAGCAATTATTTATAAGAATAGTGCTATGCTTACCGCAATGAGTTTATATTGAGACCAGGATTTGAACCTGGGTGGTCTAGGAAGCAGCGCTTCACCCTAACCACTAGGCTACATTAGTGAACTGCAAGTTTCTACTCAAATTGCCGATTTAAAGAATGAGTCGAGAAAACACGTACTGTACTGTTGTACTCTCAGTATTCACGCGGAATCGCGCAGAGATTGAAAACGACTGTTGAATATTTAACGGATAATAATACGAAAAATACCACAAACAAACCAGTTAAGCGTTTATATTGTCGCGCTATTCAAGTACATGCAAATGACTCATGGACTCAGTTTGACGCACTGGGAACGCAAGGCTCTAGCTGAGGCTAGGTTTGTGCGATTAAGGTGGTTTAGAGCTTGTTGGGAATATCAGAACCCACAGAATCAAATGGTTACCACCAAAGTCTTACTGACAGCATCACAAGCCGATCACAGAGAGGAAAATACATTGCAAGCAAGCTGAATGCTAAGCAGCTGAGATCTTTTAAGCAATGCGGAAAAAAACATGCTTGGAGATTGGAAGATCTAGTTTCATTATAACTTGGACACATTGGGCTAACAATAGCAAGCACAGATTTACCCCTGAACAGTTTTGTATTACAAAATATCAAAATTAAGACTTTTTTTTGCTCATCTCTGTAGACTGTAAAGTGTATGCCTGCGGTTCTTTGAGTGTGATGTCGGTTTAAACTGACAGGGGGTATATTGCTGGATTCTGAGGACTTTCCTCTTTCATTTGAAGTATCGTATGCATACCACAAATTCAGTAAAAATGCTAGCGACTCAGCACTGATACGATTTTATCCTATGTTTTGCTACATGATTATTTACTTGCTTGGTGCTTGAATTGCGTTCGGCTGAGGTAAAAATGGTCAACATAAGCTTTTTGCCGAGTTTCTTCGCGTAAAGTGGATAAGTTGCATGACGTTGTTTCGATAAGGAAACATGCTGTATTTATTAAGCATTACGACCGCTCTGGGTACCTTTTTATGAAAACATAACACTTCAGATTGTATGGGTGAACAGACCTGAATATAAAGACTGAAACACAAGGATTCATATATGCCTCAGAACAAATGTATGTATGCTTGTGGATGACAAATAAATGCATCAATAATGAATCACCATTCCAATCTCCATGTTTCCCCTATGCACAAGGTTTTAAGGCAGTAGCCCCCAACACTGGTCCAAACTCCCGCTGCCCTTGGAAAATATAGTCTGTTCCAACCACAACTGCAATCGCAGGATCTTAAAGGAGCTGTGTCATGATTACTGCACGTGCTCATATTTGTCAAATGCAAATAATAAACATGACCATGAGTGCAAGTGAAAACTCGTATTGATCATAGTTTTACTAGAGACCTCACTTTGGATTTCGATCGGAAAACTGCAGAAATGAGCACTTTGGCAGACCAAGACACCTCTTTAGTGGTAAGTATCAGCGTTTAGTTTTGGCCTCAGTGTTTTTACAGCCCTTGTAAGTTGAATTTCAACCACAGTTTTACTTCCCGATAGCACATTATGATTCCCAAACTCTTGCCAGTGTTCTAGGGCTTTTTTAACAGAAGTTGGAAGAAAACGAGCCGGACACCCTTGCAAAACAGTCGGACGTTTTATTTTGTTTCATATCCTTTGGCTGAAGCGCTTAAATAGCACTTGGAATCCTTGAATTTCCAGAGAAAATGTATTAACATAAGAGGCATACTGCCTGAGTAACTAAAATATATAAATACAATGCAAGAAGAAGCAGGATCAGCAACGATGGAGTCAGATCATGACTTGCAGTTGAGTAGATTCACTTTGTTTCGTGTCTTTATTAGGATAAGAATGTTCGAAGTTCTGAGCATGCGCAGTAATTGTTAACTCCTTTAACAAGCTTAACACGCTGAAGGGCGAGCTTCATAGATGTCTCCCAGAGCAAAATATCCTTCATTGCTTCACACCTCCTGATCCCAGGCGGAAGCTGGGTAGCGACAGCAGTTGCCCTACTTCTAGAGGATCAAGACATGCTTGAAAAGAAATGCACAGACTCTTCCCCATCCTCAGTGGGATTGATGAACCTGGAGCTGAGCAGAGAGAACTGCAACCTTACTCTCTTTAGCCTGTAATACAGGTGGTTGATAACCCACACAACACTGGGAAGGTGACATGCTGAGACCGGAAACAGGTAGGGGGTTGTGAGCCAGTTCCACACAGGGAAGAAGACAGGACCACCTAGCAGGGTTATCTTTCGACAAGCAGCAAAGGGTCTTGCCCAGCTTCTGGTTGAGCCTCTCCACCTGGCCGTTAGTTTCAAGGTGGAATCCTGAGGACTGGTGGGAGGTGGCGCCAGAAGGCCTTCCAGGAGCGGCTGGTGAACTGGGGATTGTTGTCAGAGACCACCTCCTGTGAAATGCTGTGGAGGCACACCATATGATTTAGTAGGAGCTCAGCAATCTTCTTAGCTAATAAGTCAGGGGTACGTTTCCCGAACAACGACGGAAGTTAGCTTTGAACTAACATGGTACGATGCATCGCTAAACTAACGAACATCAGAAGAACGATAGTTTCCCAAAACCTTCGTACCTTGTTCGTACCACAGTAGTCTGAACCATGTTGGTTTGAACGACGTTAGTTTGAACCATGATGGTTTGAGCGATTGTCGCTCGAACAACAATGTTACCAGGAGCACGCAGGTCTGACCGCGGGAAGCTTGAAAACTTGGTATTTGTGCCTAAATACAGCAGTTGTGATCGATATTACAATACTTATTCGTCTTTTTGGCATATTATTTTGTGATTGTATACAAACTAGCTACAATACAATTTACCATTTAAATGAAAAGACGCTTTAGGCAACGATTCTTGTGGAAGAAAAAAAAATCTAAAGAACGATTTGCCATTTCAATGCATTTAATGAAATGTGCTCCTCTAGCGAGTTAAATATTTTTAAATTCATTTTTCATTAACATTCTTAACAGTTATATATACTAGGTTTCTCCTTGAAGGCCAGTATGTGTAGCGTAGTGGATAAAGCAAATGATATGATAGTGTAAAAAATCCGTGTGTTGGGGGTTCGACTCCTGCAAAGAGAAATAGTATTTTTTTTTTCCACACGCTGTCTTTTTATTCATGGCAACGTGTGCTCCGATGAACAAGTGATCATTACATTTAGACGATTTGTGTGTCACGTTGTCTCTTTTGATATATGTTTGTGGTAAATATTAACTTAAGGTCACCCACCTTCTTCATGGGCATAGAAATACACACACAGAGAAAAATGGAATAGAAAATGTTAACATTTTTATTCCTTTTTCCTAACTTAAAAATTATTTCATTGACTCAAAGAACAAAAAATGGCATAAGACCACAGAAAAAAAATATATTTGAGGGCCCACGGATGGAGATGCAGTGCAGTGGATATGAGGGGGGATGGAGGGATTGCCAGCTAGACATTACTAAGGAGAGCAGCTCTAAGGAATGCGCTACAGAGGACTGGTGGTGGGAGCTCCGGTCTGTCGGCTTCCTCTTACTCCTGAGGAGAGTTTTGTCCATGCTAAGCCCAGAAGTGCTGGCGGGAGTCCCAGGGGTATAGATATCTGTGGTATGCACGATTCCCTAACATGAGTGTCTTCCCCCCTCTGCCCACTTCCTCTAAGCCCATTTACGCCTTGTCCCTTGCAGTTTGATTCCCAGGGCCCCCCAACATTGGGCACCCACACGCAGGACCCCTCAACATCGGCCATCCTCTCACTGGGCCACTCCATATTGGGCCCCCTCTGGCACGGCCTTCTGTGTGTCAGGGCCGCTCTTTCCCCTGAGTCTCCAGAATCCCCTCAGACTGGCAGTTCGTCTACCTCCTGCACAGCATGGCCTTCACAGCAAATGTCCAGCTCCCTGAAGATGAGGCGATCTCTGCAAAGGATGCTGAAGATGATCATGCATTCACAGACCACAAGGAATGACAAATGTTATGCAAAAAGACCTCCATCTCCCCCACCCCCTTTCTTTTTATCAACACTTTCCCTTCCACTGTCATATATATATAGTGATTTCTACCATATTCACAGTTGCAAGTGGGCAAACATCATCCTCTCCTATCGATACATAACAATACATGAAGGTAAACAGCGAGATCATATGTTCTTCCTATGACTAGCAACACGAAGTCACAAGCTTTACAGATTTACTGAACAATACTACCGTCTTGAACCGTAATGTAGGCTAATTAACCACCTCCCGCTCTAATGACAAGTGTTGAACTACTAGACTAGCGTAGTTAATCGTTGCCGAACATTAAAGTTTCTTTGCTAACGCATGCGAAGGCTACAAGAGATACAATTCCAGAGTTCCAACCATAGGCCAACACATGAACAGAGAAATACAACAAAAAGTGTTTTTCCCGAGTAGCTACATTTTCAAATCACTGTGTTGATGTTATATATGTTTATACAGCAAGATCATCGAACATTTTCAGCTACTGACCTTATGTTTACCTTTCGTGGACTGCATTTTCCGACGCAATCACCCGGAACTAAGCTTCTAACTACAGCTGGGGAGCAGTAGTTGGAACTACACAACTTAACGACAGTGGTTGCGAACGTTCGTTCGAACTATGGTTTTGGGGAACACCTGCGTCGTTTAATGATGGTTCGCACTACGTAAGTTACCTTGATAGTTCGAACGATGCTTTTGGGAAACACTGGCGTCGCAACTACATAGTTCAAACTATGTAAGTTGCTAACTTACTTAGCAACTATGCTTTTGGGAAACGCACCCCAGGACAAATTTAAAACTGGCAAAGAAGAGGGACTAATGGGCTTGCCTGGTTTCAACCTTTTGGTTGTGGAGAGGCCCTCCAGGTTGTGGTGGTCCATCCAAATGAGGAATGGGATGCTGGATTCCTCCAGCTAATGCCTCCATCTTCAAATGCCAGCTTGAACACCAACAGCTCATAATTTCCAATGGAATAATTTCTCTCCACAGGAGATAGCCATTGAGAGAAAATGGCACATGGATGGATCTTGCCATTAGCTGCTCTCAGGAGGAGAACTGCTCCAGCACCCACATCCAAAGCATCTACCTCCTCAATGCG